CTTAAGGAGGATCAATGATGAAGCAGCAGAAGCTTCTTTGATGGCGTTCAGTCTGAATGTAGCATAAGACTTTGACTTCTAATCCTGAGGTTCGAGACCCACCTTAGGCTTTTGAAAGTTGTGATAATATTTAACAAGTATTTTGGCTAATGTGAATATTTTTTATTAGTTTACCATTCTACAAATATAGATTGGGTAAAAACGCTGCCAAATTAGATTGGTTGCTGCAACAAATAGATTGGTTCTGTCATTTTGCTCATCATTGCCCAAATTGCACTTTCACTGCCTGCTTGAGCTTATTTCACTAAAATGGCAGAAAAACAGTGAACCCTAAACCATTGTTCTCTTTTACGCTAAAAACAAACTTACAATTGATTTTATTTTACACACCAATCATTAACAATTTTAAGGGAACTTACATGGGGGAAAAAAAAAACAAACAAGAAAAACAAATTCCAGATTATATCTAGCTGTAGTTCTGCTTTCCACCAGTAGGTGGTGACATGTTCACCTGAAGCTTCATGAACTGTGGGGATCGTTGAAGCAATTAGCCCAAACAAAGCTTCAACTCTTCATCGCTTCTAGGAAGCTTCATCCTTCTACTCCATGCATGGATCCGTTGCTTCCTGCTTCCTGCTCTGTGTGGCAGCAAAGCCGCCTCAGGAGAACTACTGCCACCTAGAGGCCGGCAGGGAGACAGTCGGTGTCTTAATCTGGTTAAACGTAATGTGACCAAAAAGGTTATTTAAAAAACATTTGGTTAAATAATGATTGAGATCTCAATACCACTTTTTTTTTACTATGGGGACAAAAAAATGACAAATAATTAATAATAATTGAACTTTATTGATCTCAGATTGAAGATATTTACCTCTGCATTTAACCCATTCCCAGTGGGCTGCCATTGTGCGGCGCCCCGGGCAGCAGTGTGGGGTTAAGGGTCTTACTCAGGGACCCAGAGTGACAGTCTGTGGGAGTGGGTTTATAACTCAGAACCTCTAGATTCATAGCTCTACGCCCTAAAAAAGTTTTTCCTCAGCAGATGTTAGTTAATCAGCAAATAAATTCAAACCTAGATAGATACTATTCTATATTTTAAGGCTGTCTGGGTATTTTTTTTTAAATTTCCAATCAACTCTTATCTTTAGTGTGGATCTGATGCTCAGTGATTAATCTGGCAGCCCTGCTGTCACATGATCACAGCTAGGAGTAATTTAGCAGCCGTTATAATGACTATTTCTAATTTATAAAAGACAGAAAGGAAAAGCTCCTAATTTCAGGTCTGTGTCTCGCAGGTACTTTAACAAAGGCAGCGCCCCCCTGGAGTGTGATAAGGAGTTCTGGGACCTCAGGGACAGCGTGGTGCGGTGTGAGCTCCTCATCCTCCGACAGCTCAACTTCCACGTCTCCTTTGAACACCCCCACAAGGTAGTGAAGGGCGTTTTGTGGTTAAAAAAGTTGGTAATGAGACTTAAATGGTTCCAGGATTATTTAGCAGGTTGATCATCTTAAAATGTGTCATTTCAGGTGATCCTAATGTCATATTTAGCAGAAAAAACCACAGATCTCTATTTATTCACTGGATTGCTGATTGCCTGTTGGTAGTACAGGGTGGAGTTAAACCACCGGCCGCCATATTGGTACTCCCTATAGACCGGTCTGAATGTAAACAATCCGTGCGCTCCATGCTCAGTCATTTTCAGGGGGACTGAAGACTTTTAACATAAAGATAAATTTATCACTTTGACACAGACTGGCTGTTTCATAGCATCAGTAGATTAACTTTAACTTATAATAAAATGTAGTAGATAATAATTAAAGAAGTACATAAATCATGTAATATAACATATTGTACAAATCTGTCACAATAAAATTAATGTGTTAATAAAGCAGAATAATACAGATGATCCAAAAGTGCTAAACTGATGATGAACATGTAATATACAAGGATTTATTACATTGTTATGGTGATTACATATCTTTACATGTCTGATAATACATGCAATATATATATATATATATATATATATATATATATATATATATATGGTTCAAATGAGAAATAAACCAAACACTATAAAAACGACAGCATCATCCACTGAATAAAGAATTACTACATTGACATTTCACAGTGAATTACTTTCCATTTCCTCTACTTTCTATTTTCTAACATTAGACCCAATCTCAGTGTCTAACTCAGTCAATGTCTTCCAGTCAGTGTGAAATAGCCAGACTAATGTTAGTCTACAGACTAAACTATAGGATCCATCGGCTATAGATGGATTTATTGGTTAATTGGGAAATTACCAGTGGAACGTCTTCCTGCAGACAGAAAACTGCTGGTTTTAGCAGCTAAATGCTGCACAGGGAGGCATTTTTACTTCGCGTCTCTGTGGGAGTGGGGAGTACCAACATGGCAGCGGGTGGCTTCACTTTTTTTCAGGCAATCGGCAGTGAATGAATAGAGATCAGTGAAAAAAAACAGCTGTAGGTATGAAAACAATGGCAACAGTGCCACCTAGTGGCTGAGGTGTGACATCCTTACAGGTTTAATAATTTCTCTAAAGGATTACAGAAAGTGAGACGATTGTAAATGAAAAAGAATAGAAACAGGATCACAGGCTGAACGACGTCTGAATTAAAAGAAGAAGGTTTGAGGTGAAGGATTGTTTCTGCTCGACTCTTTTCTCTCTGCAGTATTTACTCCACTACCTCCTGTCTGTAAAATCACTCGTCAACCGACACGCTTGGTCTCGAACCCCTGTGGCCGAGACTTCCTGGGCGTTGCTGAGAGACTGTTACCATGGGGACATGTGCATCCGCCACGTGCCGCAGCACATCGCGGTGGCCGCCCTCTACCTGGCGCTGAACAGCTACGGCGTGGAGCTGCCTGCTGGTGAGAAGCAGTGGTGGCAGGTGTGTGTTCATGATCACAATCAGACCCGTTCTGCATGTTTCACAACTACAACAATGTTCTGCTCCCTCAACAATTCAATATTTGACTGTCTGAAGCGAGACATGCTGAAGCTGAGATGAGAAGCTCTACAATAATGAATCAGTCTGTATTTATGACATCACTGTTATTTCTATTTATATATAGAGGAAAGGCTACTTTCTGCTAATCATTGTTTCTCATAACCACAAAGGAGCCGTCTGCGATCAATAATTATTAATAATCAATCAGAGTCGAGTTTTCAGCTCCTCACGTTGGTGAGTTTAGGGACCAAAGCTCTGAAATATTTCATGATAAAACAGCCGTGATTTTAACACTGAAACTCCCACTGACCGTCGGTTTGACAGGCGAGATTTTAACCAATGAAACGCAGCAGCAGTCATGATGTCATTGACTGAAATGGTTCTAGTGTGCCATATAATCCCATTATGGATATAAAGAAGTTAATATATATTACTTTAAAGGCTGCATTATATTACAATTATTATTTTTTGTCTAAATCTGTATTAAAAATAAATCAGAAAAATAAGACACAGGTTCAACGTATGAAATTACAATTTTATTAACAGAAACTGATTGATTCCCCTCCGAACATTTAAAACTTTTCACATTAATGACAAACGTTTTTTTTTGGTCGCCATTTTCTTTGCCTCGCCAAAGCTGCTGTTTTACCAGTTAAAGGATAAAATCTGTGCGTGAGACGGTGACGTTCAAACGGCCCATGAACAAAACCAACGCGTTTATAGCTGCTATGACCAACAGATCGTAAAAGAGCCAGAATATTTTCTAATCATTTTATCCGACCTGTGTGATTATAGTAGACCACGGTTTGTCTTTGGGCCGCTGAGGTGTGGGCAATGCCAACCTTGAACAAAATGGGTCACGTTGATCATCCTCTTCGCTGTCATAATCTTAGCCGCTTGCTTTGGACCAGTCCTCCTCATCGGTCTCTCCATCGCCGCCCAAATCGCTATCATCAATATTCTGAAGCATTTTTAAAGCCTGTTTAGCTGTTAGATTTCTTCTGAAAGGAACTAGTTCCTAGCCTGACGTAGTCCTACTCAATCCTAGTCAGAATGAGTCTGATGCTGCTCCATAGAGCTGTGATTATGGGGCGCGTTTCGAACGAACCAGGAAAAAAAATGCCTCTGCACTCAATTGGATAGACCTACAACCAATAAGAGCAACGGAGTGCGTGACGTATGTTAAACTTCC